AATATTGTAGTTGATAATATATTTTGTGAGGAATTTATGACATTGTTACTATTACTATTACTACTATTACCATTGTTATTATTGCGATTTCTCGTACAAAGTTTTTTGGTTTCTTGTTTAACCAAATATCCTCTGTTAATCGGATTTGAATACCACGCTAATTATTAATAAATAACATGATTTAGATTAAAAATAAATAAATAAACTAATTTAATTTAATAAATATAATTTAAAAAAATTCTACCTATATCTTTTTGTTTTTTTTGGATTTGCAAATTTAGGTAACTTCCAAAATTTTTCTGGATGAAGAGTCGCTCTTAAAGCTAACCTATTAAAATATTTACAAGTTACCATACCGCCACACCTTTCAACTGCTTTAATAGCTTTTTGTGATGCTCTTGCCACTTCAATATTAATCCGAGCATTAAAATATTCTGATCCCTATTTCGTTTATTTATTTTTTTAACAGAAATAAATATATTAAAATAAATTATACACAAATATATTTATTTGTACAATTTGCATTTATAATTTACATCAGCCAATAGTTTCACTCCATCTTTAATTCCTCTAACGCATCTTGTCTCATGGAGATGTTTCAGTGTTATCAATTCATTAGGATTAATTTTATCAACATTTATCCAATGTTGTATTTAAAGGTGCATAAACTTTGGCATTACTAAAAATAACATAATAAAAATTATTGAGGGTTACCGTTTTTATTATTTATTTATAATAAAAAAGGAAATAATTACTAATTATGAAATCCACGTTTTGGAAAAGCTTTAGTAATAGGCGTTTGACCACCTTCAAATCCTCTTCTTGGATTGCGAGTACCGCCTCTTGCTTTTTGTCCTTTTTGTCCTCTTCCACTTGTTTTGCCCACACCTGATGCAGGCCCACGACCTACACGTTTAGGCTATTTATAATTTAAATAATATTAATAACAATTCTTATTTTTATTCCCATTACAAATAATTGATTTTTTTTAATAATTACTCTTGAAAAAAATCCTCCATATATATATATTTTTTTTTTTTGGTAAATAATTTAATAAATTAATTTTTTTTCACACCTGAGAAGTGGCTTTTAGATTATCACTTAAGGTATTTAAACTAATCTTATTTACAGGTGGTTTTATAAATATTGATGTGGTTGCGTAATTTTCGTTATTTGATTTTTTGAAATATTAGGTGTATTGTTGTATTTTAATACGTTTGTTAATTGTTTAGTTAAAATAATTTTTGATTTATTATTAAAAGTAAATAATAACAAAGACTTGGAAAAACGAAGCATTGTCGCAAGAATGGTAATGGAGAAAAATGGTTGAAAATTTTAAATTTATTTTTGATTATCCAATCGATGCTTATAATTTGTACGATGGGACTGCATAAAAAAAGCTTTAAAAAGATGGGTGGGTATCACTATAAATTAAAAAATGCCTCGTAACCTTGCACCTGTTGGTTTTCTTTCCTCTTCTTTTCGTTTTGAATTTTTTTTAAGACAAACAAATTTTCAATGTCAACCACAACAATAAAACCTGTTATTTATTATAACAGTCGATTTCATTTTGTCGAAGAGGATTGTGCTTCTAAGTTTCATTTTGATACAGAATATGCTATATTTCAAATTTATAATTTAAAAGTAGGTTATAATATAAATTTTTTTTTGAATACAAATTTAAAAATTTTTTTTTAATTTAAATATGAGAATAGGTTGGTAAACAAGAATTTGCTGAAGGGCTTTCCGAAGTGACAGGGCTAGCAGGATCCGTCACGTTTTTAAATGAATTTGAAAGAATGTACACGAGGCATTCTGAAAATAGAATAGAAATTGGAGCCAGTGCATCACATGAAACCAATAATTCTGATAGGTTAAAGGTAATGATGATTAATTTTTAATATGAATATAAATAATTTTTAAAAAAAATTTTGACAAATCAAAATTATTATTAAAAAAATATAGATAAAAATAAAATTTAGTAACAAATCACATGAAAATTTAATTGAAGAGCTTCTCACATCATCAAAAATAGCATTAATGACATCTAATGGATTTTCAGATTGGGTACCATTAGATAGTACAAGTTATGAATGTATACTTCAATCATCAACAGCAAGACATGATAATAATGGTGGTAAGGATGAAACGAGACAATCATTACTGAGAGCTCTTAGCGATACAATAGATCCTGTTTTATTAGATGTAGTGATTGATGATTTATTGGATGACTTCGAATCAAGTGCATTTGAAAAATTATTTCCCGGTCCAATTATAACAATTTTCAGAGGTCAAAATAGAGTTTCCATGACTGTGGTATTAACATGTAGTAGATTTTCATTTGATGAAGATATGGGAAAATTTTTTATTGATATATTAAATTCTTTAATTCAAGATAGAAAAATTGAAAAAACTTATGAAAAGGTAATTTATTTGCTATTATCATTAACAATATTTTCAACGATTGTATTAACAATTATATTATTAATGTTATAATAATAATAGCATATATATGATTCATTTTTCTTATTGGTGGTTAGATTATTAAATTTGATTAGAGACTTGGTGCACCTTAATGCTACATATGAAGAATTTTATTCACCTGGTGTATTTCCATTATTTACAGGATCAATTAAATATTTGAAGGTTAAATATATTGAAAGTTTGACAAATCTTGAGAAATCTTTAATTGATGTTGGATTTGAAAAATTTGAAGGTAATAATATTGTATGTTATGTAATATGTAGTATATATAATGTAAATCTGTAAAATATTACTTGTTATTTAGATAGGCTTCAAGAGTTATCAATGATGGTTCGTGAAATAGACCAAACACTTGAAATGGCTTCTATAAATATTCAAGCATATATAAACAAGTGGAAAAGATTCAAAGGAAGAGCCAATTTATATCATTTATTATCAATGTATGTATCATTATTGTCATCATCTTATCATTATCATTATTAATTATTATTAAACAATTAAAATCGTCAAATTATAGTCTTATGGCAATTGCTTTACCATCAATATATTATTATAATAATACATTTGGTGAAGCAATAGTAAGTGAAAATCTAAATTACAAATTAGATGATTTTATTTATTTATGACAATAATAATAATACATCTTTTTTTGGAAAATTTTGATTTAGACAATATTTGGGTGTATGATTGGCTGTATAATTTTTTTGATAAATGCATTTTGGAGTGGATGGCTACGTAATAATTATAGTAAGGCAATATCATTACATAAAAAGGCCATACCAATTCATTCCGAAACAGCAAATAGTGTAGAGGCATTACAAAGATGGTTAAATAGAATCTCTATAGTTAGAAGATGTAAAGTACCAATGAATAATAACGAATTAAAAAATAGAAAGACCATTCTATATTATTTATTTGATGAATTAGTTACTGCTTCTGCAGAACTTAGATTAAGTATTAGTATAAGAGATGAGTTGAAAAGATATAAATGATAAATATGAATATGTGGTGGGTGCTAAGAATAAATCAATAATTTATTGTGTTTGGTGATTTATTTAGATTGCATTTATTCATTCATCAATCATTTTGTTTTATATTGATTGAAATTATGATTATTTTTAGTTTTGTAGAGATATTTATTTATTTGTAAAAGAAAAGACCTGAAAAGCAAAATTTTTGATTAGGCATCATATTGGTGTAACTTCAGTTTTCAATTTAAAAATCGGGTTTTTTCAAAAATATATTAATATTAATATTAATCAACGATCCGCCTATAACTACCGACATTTCTTTCTTTTCTTTTTTGTAAGCACCCCACTTTTAGTGGTGCAATCGACCCTCACAAATGCATAGTAATAGAGGGTGTGCATTTATCTCAAAGTCCCGAGCTTGGAACTGGGACACAAGGTGCACTTACGGAGGGTGTTCCCCACTGCACGGTCTTTTCCCGGTCTCATTCATATGATAATAAAGACTCTGAAAGCTGTGGCACGGTCCGAATTTGGAAAAATGAACGCAAAAAAAAAAAGAATTATCGGAAAAAATATTAAACATTAATATTGTTCATCTTTATATATTCGATTAAATTTTTTTAAAAAGATGCAACGTTTATTACAAGGTAGTGTTAAAATATTAATTAATATACTATTCTTTTATATCAAAAACAATTCATGTAATTACTATTATATCGGCCAATCAGAATGATAAAATACTCTAGCTTTGATCATTTCCATTGGTTTACTTTTTTCTAACCTTACTGAATAAAGACACACTTTTTCAAAGATCATCAATTTTAACAAAAATAATCATGTGGAATACACGCATAATAATAATAAATACGGAGAAACGTACTTTTGATGCAGGAAAAGACACTTTTCCGTATCTAAAAATACGGAAACGGTCATTAGTAGTAGCAGTGTAATAATTACGTAAATTCAATCCCATTCCACAAAACAAATTATCTTTCTGAACAGGTACTTGCTGTATTAAAGATCGCCATGCCACATAAAAAGTTACTTTTTTGTATAGTCCATGATGATTTTGAGAATACTGCTTTCCCAGCTAATTGTAATAAGGGCATGACCATCGGCAAGTTGACAAAATTGACGTTCTCAACTAGCAAAAGACCTCAAATTATGGATGGTTAATATCAATCTTACCATGACTCGATGACCGCAATTCTGTCATTGTAGTGTGTTTCTGGTGGCCAGGAGTTGAGCCCTGTAAATTCAGTTGAAGAGAAATTCCCACACACTTGCTAATAAGCATATTCACGTTATTATTGAGGTGCCTGCTTTCCCTGCTTCTGCTAATAAGTGAAGAAAAATAATCTCGTGGAGTATTGCATTGAGTAGGAAAGTGTGCAAATAATTGCATCTCTTGTTAATTATATGAATAAGTTGGTGAATGGAAATGTAAGAAATCAAAATAGTTAATCATAGTGGGAACGACGTTTACTAATTTCGTGCTTCGAAAGCACGTACAAAATCTACAGAATCGCTAACGTTGAATTAAATGATTGTTGAAAACGACTCAACGACTCTCTAAATATATTGATTGATAGGTAAGTAGGTTTTGTTGAACATCTCTTCCGTATCTTTTCAGCTTTTTATTTGTTTTATTTCAGGAATACGAAGAAGCCAAAAGTCTCTATCTCAAAGATAAATCAAGCGTAATTAGATGAATTGATCAACCACTTACAGTTTCGTCAAGACAAGTGCTATCACTATGAAATCCGACAGATAAAGTTTCTGTGGACCCTTTGTGTGGGATGAACGAAATGAAGAACGACATGCAGAAGACAAGAAAAATGAAGAAGGTCAGATAGTCAGGCGAGGATATTTGAGTTCTTTATCTCTCTTTCCTTTACATGTGATTGGTATGACCATAAATGCAAGAAAGTAATTTTGTCCATCATTGATGGAACCCCAGTGCTTCCATCAAGTGCTATCTCAACAATGGTATATAATAACATCATTACATGAACCGGGCCAAAACATCGTAACTGTTTTATCTTTTATAAGCCAATAGAATATCCACATATCTTTTAAATCGATGAGAAATATGAAACAGGATAATTCGAAACAAAGTTTGTCGCGGTAAGCTCTCCAATAGCTTGAATCTTGGAGGACTATTTTCACTACATTTGACATCCTGCTTACGAAGAAAAGGAGTGAGTCGTCAACACTAATTTTCCAATTGCTATGAGAAGCAATTTTTGTAACTTTCGGGTCAATTTTCCATATGTAGAGTATCTGAGAACGATGTGGAAAGGCTAAATCTGTTTTTAAATAGGCCTAATGTTCATTTTGAGTTTGAGGATAATATTGCAAGTATGAACGATGTGTTGAAGGTAAAACACACGCTGAAACTTTTAGATGAGACGCCTGGCTTTCAATTAGATAAAGATTATATGTGAATGTACTCATGATTATAATGTCACAGAAATAAGAATGAAACGATTGGTGTTTAAAATTCAAACTCAAAATTATGTGAGGTACTAACACATTACTATCATATTAAAGTGCGCTGACCACCACAAATTATTAGCAAACTAATCTGTGGTCAGTAATTTTACATATAATTTATATAAATAAATCACAAAATTTTAACTGTCAATATCTATATGCGTTCAAGTGCTTGCTTCAGTATGATTGTGTGTCCGTTGTAAATATATTTTTACACCAGCTGCAAAACATTGACATCTTTCCATCACTATCTTCACTTTGTTCAAACCAAGGGTAAATTCGTAATCAATTTAAATCTTCTCGCTGATTCTAAAGCAAAATTGAAAAGAGGATCTTGTCATTTTAATGGTCATGGCTTTACTCAATTAGTTCCTTTCGATATTCACTAGAAAGTTTTAGTGGTGTAATTTCACTTAGATTTTTACACAGTCAATGTCTTTATGCAGATCAGTAGGTAGCTTTTTTGCTCTAGCATGTTTGGTTATTGAGCCTATGTATTTTGAAGACTGGCTGTTTTTTGATATTTATGGTTTGCATTCTAAACTAAGAAAAAAACTTAGGACTTAAAATCTTATAACTTTATTAGCAAATTTAAAAGGCTCTTTGACCTGTTATAACTTGTTCG